TGATTTATCTATAACTATTTCATAAATGAAAGACCATTATGGGTAGGAGCTATTCAGCTTAATGCCCTACGGTGTTGATTTTACTGTTGAAATAAAAATAATGTACTTTTGTTTTGCCAAGGGAAAAGGACCGACTCATCGAATTTCTGTGGGGGGTGCGAACCTGACTTCGTGTACCAGCATCTGCTTCAGTTTGCGTACTTCACAGCAAAGAGGGAAGTCACCATGAAAGGATAACAGCACACTTCCATGCAGTACTTCGAAGGTCATGTCCTGGTAAGTCGTGATATTTGTAACTGATTAAAAATAACTAAGTACTAATACGCATTCCAGCATCGGTTTCGTCGTGGAAATATATAATGCAGTGAACTAAAAAGGAGCTTAAAATGGAGCGCGAGGGCAGTCGAAATCGTGGACAATACGGTGAGGAATAGATGCGCAACATTGTTGGGCTGCCCAAATAAATACTCGTTGGTTCTAGTAAACGTTATAATAACTTGATGCGTGGGGTATCTACGCACTTTCCCCTCTCGCCCCACGCACTCTAGTGCTTTTAATTTTTTGATCGAAGCTATGTTTGTTTTTCCCGCTTGCCTGGTAAGGAAGCGGATAGTGAGGAACTCTAATGCTTACGTGTGAGCTTCGATGAAGCCCCCCAACGCATTCTGCATCGTTTTGTGCCTGTGAAACCGCAACTATTACCTCTTTACTCCCATCCTTCTGTTTGCTGAAGCTGCCTAAGGTTTCTGTGGGCGACCAGCTTGGCGGAGCGTTGTCGGCGACGTGTGAGACGGCGTGACAGCGGCGACGGTCTGGCGAGCGTAGTGCCACAGTGCACCACGGTGCGGTCAAGGTATCATCCCTCTCGCAGCAGGGTCGGGCAAGGGCAGTCCGCGGCGCCCTGCTTGGCGGCACTGGAGTGGCGGGGGAGCACCCCCCCCCCCCGCAGGCTTGCTGCGTTGGGGACGGTGCCACGAGTGCGACCACGGCGGGTGCGCGGCGAGGCATTCTCCCCCCTAAGAGGGACGCAGCTGTGATCGTCCTGAGGCGCCGCAACGGGACGGCTCGACGTGCAAGTGGTAGCGGTGGGATGTCACCGGAAAGGCGACGGGTCTTTGTGGCATCGGTGAAGGACGTGGTGACCTGAGAAGGCGATGAAGCGGAATGAATGGACGCGTGTGGGTCTGGGTGTGGCAACGCGGCAGCGGTGTACGGGTGGGTGCGATGTGCGGAGGCAATCGTGGGATGGTCGGCATCACGATCGCTTAAACAGCGCCTGCGTCACACCGGTGTGGTACCAGGCAGATGGTGCGGCTTTGAAAGGGATGAGCGCGATGGGGAGAACGAAACTGTCGCGTTGTATAGTCGATTCGCTTCGCTGCGAGGGTGCCCTGGAGCAAAACGTGGAGCGGATACCGCACCAGGCAAGCTGCGTTGTGTTTGCTGGCGTTACGCGGGCCG